ATCATTACAATTATTATTATTATTATTATTATTATTATTATTATCATTGTTACTATTATCCTTATTAGTATTATCATAATTATTATCGTTATTATCATTATTGCTATTATCATCATTATTGCTATAATCATCATTATCATTATCATCATTATTATCATTATCATTACTGTAGTTATTTTTTATAACCACTATTTATTGTTGCTGTTCTCATTGCTATTATTATTATTATTATTACTATCATTATAATAACAATTACAATTATTATGCTGCTCTTGCTGTTTGTAATTGTTATTATATTTACTATTAATATTATTATCATTGTTAATTTTTATTATTATTATCATCATTATTATTATCATTGTTGTTGTTGTTATAATCATTATAAATATTATCATTATTATTGTTTTTATTATTATTATTATTATCATTATTATTATTATTATTATTACTATCATTATTGTTATTACTGTTATTAATATTATCATTAGTATATAGCTTATATCATTATAGTCGTCTTTGTCATAATTAGTAGTAGTATCATCATCCTCATTTCATATTTTCTATCATTATTATTATCATTATTATCGATTATCATCATTGTTATCCTTCCTATTATAATAATGACATTATTATTATCATTATTTTTATTATCGTTGTTCTTGTTATTTTTATCATTATTGTTATTATTATTGCCATCATCATCATACTCATCATCATCATCATAATTATTTTTACCATCGATTCACGTCAGTTTTTCACAAAGCATTGATGAATCGGAATATTACATTATAGGTTCCAGTTTAATGAACTACGAGAAATCCTTACACACACACATACAAAAAAAGGTTGAGGAAGATACCGTTTGTTTGACTTCAAAGACAAACTGTTACTTATAGATAAATGGCCCTTTATTAAGAAAAAAATAATCGCCAAAAAGAAAAACAAGAAGCAACTTTACCGATACGAAATGTATTTGAAAATCCTTCTGCTCTTACATTAATTACAATAAATAGAATAATTAGCTGATCATTCAAGATCTTCTCCAACGCTAATAAATTTCATCAATATCGGAATATTAGATCAAAACCGTCTATAACTAAAGAAAGAAACATACCTTCCCCTATACCACTAATGGTCGTAGGTGCCATGCGTGTGTATAGACAGTTAAAGTAAACTGTCCAATTACATGCTGCTTTTAGTCGCTATTACCTTGACCATGCGATGGAATCACTGCGTCCACGACAAGAGACACCTTGTTCACACTCACCGTTATTAATGTTGTGAACACCTGACTGCAAGATAGCCTTGTGTGGTCTGCAATTGCTACCCTTCTTTGTTCATGGGAGCCGGAGAGATAGCACAGGACGTGGGAGCGGGCGGGTGTGTTTCGGGCGTTGGGGGTAGGGGGGTAAACTATTTTATTTATTTGTTTGTTTGTTTGATCGTTTGTTAGCTGGTTTGTTTGATCTCGTCTTTTAATTTGTATATCTAGCGTCTGAATATACCGATGTGGGATATTTTCATTAATCTTCATCAGTACTCATATCATGAATAGATATACCTGTCCCGTATTTTTCGGATATGTGTATGAATTCATGTAAAGAAAAAATGCACCAAATTTAGCATTATCTTCACAGTTGTTTCAAAGAAGTTATCATTCATATATCGTATAATATAACGTATACAATTCTCTTGTTTATGATACTGATGGTGGAACTGGCGAATAAGGCCACTGACAATACTCTGCGTTTTAACAAGGAAAGTATTGATGATCATAATGCAAATAATAACATCATCATCATATGATGATCACGACAATATTATTTATTCATTACCATTATCATCTGTATTATTTTAATTATTATTATCCTTTTCATTATTATTGTTATCACTGTTATTATCATTATTTTCATCATTACTATTATTATCATCATCATTATCACTGTTACCTTTATTATTATTGTTCTAGCTCTTGTTATTGTAATCATCGCCACGATGTTACCGATCTTGTTACTGTTCTCTGTATCATTATTATTATTTTTGTTATTAAAGATCATCATAATTATCTACACTGTTATTACTACTTGCAACACTTATAATCTCTTATAAGTTTGGCATTATCACAACTATAATCTTATTTTGGCTAATGCTGGTACTGTTATCATTGTTTACATTATCATTACTATTATTTGTATTACTTCTACTATCGTAATTAACTATAAAGATTTTTTGTTATTAATAACATCATACTTCTTATCATTTCATATACTTTTTATTATTGTAATCGTTATTATCATCCTTTTTAACATTATTAAAGATGCCATTATCATTCTTAGTTATCATTGTTGTTGCTGTTATTAGTATATCATTATGATTATTAGTAAACTTTATTGTTATTGTAGATTGGATTTATGATATCCATTATCATATCTATCATTTATTTTAACAGTATTTTTTTCATTAACGTTAACATTATATCATCATTTGCTGTTGTTGCAGT